TCCTAGGATTACAGGCATGAGACACTGCACCTGGCAGCACTTTGTGACATTAATGAGTGGAGTGTGTCATTTGAACCCAGGAGGCAGAGGTTGCACTGAGCCAAGATCATGCAATTGCACTCCAGCCTGGGTAACAGGGAGAGACTTCATCTCAAAAAAGAAAAAAAGGACCGACTAACAGTGTCAAAGGGTTCAATAATGATGTCACAACTACAGTTAAATAACAGCCAGGCAATACAGCAATTCTATATATACCCATTTCCCTTAGTTATCTAGTTCACTATGCATAAGATATGAAACATAGAATGTGTACTGGGAAAACTGTTAAACTGGGATCAGAGAAAACATAGTATAAAACAAATTGTACAATAAAAACATTAAAAAAAAGATGCAGGCTCCCAGGTCTGAATGTTCATATTGGCCAAAAGCCATGTTCAGAGTTCTTATTCTCCAATAGGATGTTCCTACAGATGGAGCCTTTGAGATAATTTGGTCATGGGTGTTAACTACTCATGAATAGGACCAGTGCTTTTATTTATTTATTTATTTTTTTAATTTTTGAGAAAGAGTTTCACTCTTGTTGCCCAGGCAGACTGCAATGGCCTGATCTTGGCTCACTGCAACCTCCGCCTCCTGGGTTCAAGTTATTCTGCTGTCTCAACCTCCCATGTAGGTAGGATTTCAGGCAAGTGCCACCACACCCAGCTAATTTTTGCATTTGTAGTAGAGATGGGGTTTTACCATGTTGGCCAGGCTGGTCTCGAACTCCTCACCTCAGGTGATCTGCCCGTCATTACCTCCCAAAGTACCGGGATTACAAATTTGAGCCACCGCACCCAGCCATCTTTTGTGTGTTCAGTAGATTCGAGGATTCACCATGTTGGACTGACTGGTCTCAAACTCCTGACCTCAAACAATCTACCGACCTCAGCCTCCCAAAGTGCTGGGATTAGAGGCATGAGCCACCGTGGCCAGGCAGTCTAAGCTATTACTGATAGGACAGTGAAATGACGGAGACTGGAAAAGGAGCATGTCATCATCAGCATCACTGAAGGCTGACAACTCTTATTATACAAAGGCAGTTTACAGCTCGTCTTATAAAAGCTGCAATGTGTGAAGCCATCTAATAGCACTAGCTTGTTTTAAAAACCTGGAGGCAGCGGGGCGCAACGGCTCAGGCTTATAATCCCAACACTTTGGAAGACCTAGGCAGGTGGATCACCTGAGGTCGGAAGTTCGAGAGCAGTCTGACATGGAAAAACCCTGTCTCTACTTCGAATACAAAATTAGCTGGGCGTGTTGGCACATGCCTGTGATCCCGGCTACTTGGGAGCCTCAGGCAGGGAATTTGTTTGAAGGGTGGGGGCGGGGCAGGGCAGAGGTTGTGGTGAGCCGAGATTGCACCACTGCACTCCAGCCTGGGCAACAAGAGCAAAACTCCATCTCAAAAAAAAAAAAAAAAAAAAAATCTGGAGACAAATTAACATTATTTCTCAAATAAGTACAGCAGGCCCACAGTGTTCATGTACATGACCTCAATTTGCACATACAGTGAGGGAAGGACAAACTTGATCCTGGGCCTGAAGGATACCACGACATGTTTTTAAGCACAATAGTGCACCAAGGAAGTACAGAAAATAACCAGTCACAAAAAATACAAGGAGAACAGAATGAAATACTACAAGGGGGACACAGGGCTGAGCTGGGACACAAGGGCTGAGCTGTGCTGCTGACAGTGGTGCTAAGTCATCACTCATGGACCATGTGCTGAGTCATCATGCCTGCACACATTGATTCAGGCAGCCTCCTATAATTTTGTCCAGTGGATGAACAAGGTCTTGACTTACTCAGTGAGAGTAGTGTTGGAGGAGAGGGGCTCACAGGGAAATTGGGGTGTTCAGCATTACAAAATCAATAGGCTGGGATTTGCATCCAGATCAATGTACCATGTGAGGCAAGGCCAGGAAAGGAAGGGAAGGGTGGACAGCAGGAAGTAATGGGCATGTAGGAGTGGACTTTGTGCATGCATGTCTGTGGTAATAGAATTCCACTAGGATAGACCAAATCTTCAGCTTGGAGGAAAGTGGAATTAATTTAGCAGATGGTAAAATATTGACCCAAGGTTAACTATGCAAATTACAATACAGGCAAGGGACAAGAATCAACGAGATCCAAAAAAGCAGCAGTATGGTGGCCTGAGGTGAAAGCAGTTTTACATCTCTTAAATTAAATGGCCTCTGATTTCTAGTTTCAAGCATATACTCAACAATATGCCTTGTGTAGATTCCAGAATTTTTTTTTTTTTTTTTTTTTTTTTTGGGTCTCTGTTGCTTATGCGTTCATCTAGTCGCTCGTTTTCTCTGTAGTTATCTATCAGGCGCAGCCTATTTTTTTTTTTTAGATTTCTTGTTGATTCTGCTTGATCGCCCCTCGCCCCAAATGCTGGTACATTCCAGCCGAATTTCATACACACACAAAAAAATGAGTAAACTCTATGAGGAGTACAGCAATGAAGGAGACCTTCGCCATGAAGAAGGATCCCCTGGCTGAGTAGGTAGAGATGTGTCTGTGAAAACAGAGCCAGGCCAAGCACAGTGGCTCATGCCTGTAATAACAATAATAATGACAGTTTTTGTTTCTTTTTTTCTTTATTTTTGAGATGCAGTGTGACTCTATTGCCCAGGCTGGAGTGCAGTGGCATGATCTCAGATCACTGCAACCCCTGCCGCACAGGTTCAAGTAATTCTCTCATCTCAGCCTCCTGAGTAGCTGGGATTACAGGTGCCTGCCACTGGGCCTGGCTATATTTTGTATTTATTTTTGTTTTTGTTTTTGTTTTTTTGAGATGGAGTCTTACTCTGTTGATCAGGCTGAAGTGCAGTGGCACAATCTCGGCTCACTGCAAGTTCCACCTCCCAGGTTCACGCCATTCTCCTGCCTCAGCCTCCTGAGTAGCTGGGAGTACAGGTGCCCGCCACAAGGCCTGGCTAATTTTTTTTGCATTTTTATTAGAGATGGGGTTTCACCGTGTTAGCCAGGATGGTCTCGATCTCTTGACTCGTGATCTGCCCACCTCAGCCTCCGAAATTGCTGGGATTACAGGCGTGAGCTACCGCACCCATCCTAAATTTTGTATTTGTAGTAGAGACAGGGTTTCACCATTTTGGTCAGGCTGGTCTTGAACTCCTGACCACCAGCATCGGCCTCCCAAAGTGCTGGGATTACAGGCATAAGCCACCATTCCCGGCCCCTTCTTACTATTAACTCATTGTTGTGACAGTTGACAACAATGAAAAAAATCTTAAAATCATTACAATTATTATAAAAAAAAAAACTTACTGCAAAGGTTGTGTTTTCTACGTAAACCATGGGCTTATCCATCCATGTATTCACGCACACGCATCACATCGCAGCGTGACATGCGTGGTGGCGTGCACCTCTAATCCCAGCTACTCAAGGGGTTCAGGCAAAAGAATCACTGTAATCCAGGAGGCAGAGGCCACAGTGAGAAAAAATCCCACTATTGCACTCCAGCCTGAGTGACAGATTGAAACTGAACTAAAAATAAATAAATAAATAAGTAAAATCAATGATGTGAAAAAGCATCCTGTTCCACTGCTGTGTATCTCCACTTTCCATTCCATTCCAAGTCATTAAAAGTGCAGAGTCTAGCTGGGCACGGTGGCTCAGGCCCGTAATCCCAGCACTATGGGAGGCTGAGGTGAAAAAACGCAAGGTCAGGAGTTCCCGACCAGCCTGACCAATATGGGGAAACCCGATCTCCACTAAGAATACAAAAAAATTAGTCAGTCATGGTGGCGGGCGCCTGTAATCCCAGCTACTCAGGAGGCTGACGCGGGAGAATTGCTTGAACCCAGGAGGCGGATGTTGCAGTCAGCTGAGATCCTGTCACTGCACTCCAGCTTGGGCAACAAAGTGAGACTCCATCTCTAAATAAATAAATAAAACAATTAGCCACATGTGGTGACACATGCCTATCACTCAAGCTCTTTGGGAGACTAAAGTGGGGATTACTTGAGCCCAGGAATTTCAGGTCGCTGTAAACTCTAAATTGTGCCATTGTACTCCAGAACTAAGCCACAGAGCGACATTTTCTCTCTCTCTCCTTTATTTTTTAGAGATGGAGTCTCGCTCTGTTGCCCAGGCTGGAGTGCAGTGGCACAATCATGGCTTTCTGTGACCTCCATCTCCCAGATTCAAGTGATTCTCCCGCCTCAGCCTCTTGAGTAGCTGAGATTACAGGCATGCGCCAGCACCCCCAACTCATTTTTATACTTTTAGTAGAGATGAGGTTTCACCACGTGGGCCAGGCTGGTCTCAATCTCCTCCGGATCCATCCTCAAGTGGATTACCGCCCACCACCCAGCCCTCTGCCTGTGGCCTCCCTATCAGCTGGCTGAGGAGTTACACAGGCGTCAGCCCAACGGGACCACCGGCCAGGAGTCCATCTCACCATCCGCCATCTGCTCCCAAGTGCTGGATTACAGCTTGAGCCACCACGCCCGGCCCATCCTGTTTCTTAAAAAAAAAAAAAAAAAAGTCTGAAGTCAGAGACATATTGATCTACTAGTGTGGCTTCAAATGCATTACCAAATCACATACACAATATCTCCCCTTATTGGTCTCCTTTTCCAGAATTTACCAGCTATCTGTACACATTAATGTATGTATTTAATAAGTATTTCTCTGATCTGGTCCACGAAGAGCTGACATCCAGATGTGGCCCCTGAACAATCCAGGCTGCCCAGCAGCACTGACACCATGGGGCCCACACCCCGTGTCCATCCATGTCTGGGTGTGAGCCCTTCCCAGGACCGCGCCCAGTGGAGCCTCTTCCCAAGTTCATGTCACTGGGTCACGGGAGATGGAATCTCAGAGCAGGTGAGAGGAAATGCTTCAGACTCAGAAAAGACTGGCTACTACAATTCCTGACATTTCAGAAAGGAAAGAGACAGATTAATCCCCAGAGGAACATCACTTCACCTGAGGAAGGGCCATGCCTGGCTCCTTTCCTTTCCTCTTCTCAGCTGCTTCCTCACGTAACCTGAGTCTTTAGAAATCAATCCTGTATGTGAAAAAAAATATGAAACTTCATGTTAGAAATGACTCACTCCCTTCCTGTGACAAAAACACCCAGATAAGGGAGACCTCACCGTGTAGAAAGGTGGTCCTCTGAGGCCCACTGCACCAGAGACCATGCAGAGATAAGAAAGCCCCACAGGAAGACCTGTAAGTGTACGTTTGACCCCGGTCTTCAGATCTCACTCCCCTCCTGGAGAAGCCCCCACACACGAGGCAGCAGGGGGCAGCTGGGCTGGACTGATCTCCCCTTCAGGATACAGACTCTTCCCCGACCAAACCCCATCCAGAGGACAGCCCCTCATCTCTCTGTGGATCACAGGCTGAGCTCAGCCCTCAGAAACGGGGGACACAGAGCTTCGATGCTCAATGCTGCACACAGATGACAAGCACCTGGGCCACTGCAGCTATTACTGAGGGTGGGCTCCAGCCCTTCAGAATAAGAATCCCAGTAAAGCAGCACAAATGCTCTATTTGTAAAATGCTCTGCAGTCTAATGTGAAGCCAGGGTTGAGCTCCACTCAGAGGCAGCGAGCCCAGCACAGCCCCACGTTCTGGCTCTGCTCTTCCCTTGGGGCCTTGTTCTCACCAGGATCCAGACAGTGGATGGCAAAGGCACAAAACTAATCACATAGAACAAGCAACGTGCACCAGAGGTGGGATGAATGATGGGCTGTGTGAAAGGAAACACACACAGGTGTGGATGGGCTGGCCCCCTTGACCACTGCACTCCAGCCTGGGCAACAGAGCAAGACTCTGTCCTCAAGCAAAAAAAAAAAAAAAAAGGAAGTCTGGAGACACTATCCGCTTCCATCCGTAGTGCAGACCCTGCTGGAGCCACTGTCGGGAAGAGTCCATGAAGACAGTAGCAGGGATGCATGTGGAACTGACTGTTGGAGAAAGAAACCTTCTCTCTATTGCATGTAAGAATGTGATTGGAGCTATAAAGGCCTCCTGGAGAATAAGCAGCTGCATTGAACAGGAAGAAGAAAACAAGGGAGGAGAAGACAGCCTAGGAATGATTTGGGGATATCAGCAAATATTTGAGACTGAGCTAACATTAATCTGTTGTGACATTCTGGATGTGCCGGACAAACCCCTCATTCCAGCAGCTAACACTGGCAAGTCCAAGGTTTTCTATTATAAAATGAAAGGGGACTACACATGTATCTGGCAGAGTTTGCCACAGGAAATGACAGGAAGGAGGCTGCGGAGAATAGTCTAGTGGCTGATAAAGCTGCTAGTGATACTGCATTGACAGAACTTCCACCAACACGTCCTATGCGCTTAGGTCTTGCTCTCGATTGTTTTACATTCTACTAGGAAATTCTTAATTCCCCCGACCATGCTGCAGGTTGGCAAAGGCAGCTTTGGATGATGCATTGCAGAACTGGATATGCTGAGTGGAGTAAGCTATAAGGACTCTACACTTATCATGCAGTTGTTTCGTGATACTCTGACACTATGTACTTCGGACATGCAGGGTGACAGAGAAGAACAGAATAAAGAAGCTCTGCAGGACGTGGAAGACTCAAATTGTGAGCCATAAAGACTCAAATTAGTGAGCCATAGAAGCCAACAAGAGAAACTATCTGTGACCACCCAAGTCCTCCCCATTCCACCCCTTGGAAACTCCCCACTGTCACCAAGAACCACTAAATCTGACTTTTACATTTGGTCTCAGAATTTGGTTCCTGCCCTGTTGGGTTTGGTTTGGTTTTGTTTTAACAGCTTTCAAAAGTTCTTAAAGGTGAGAGTGAATTTCTGTGGATTTTACTGGTCCCAGATTTTAGGTTCTTTAAGACACTAACCAAACTACATACAGGCTTCTTCACCGTTACTGTGTTGTCTCCGTGCCAGATGTGGCAAAATCACTGCTAGAAATGGAAATGACATTTGAAAGCCATTAGACCTCTAGGTGAGGCAAGCACCTAAGAGAGAGGTTAATCACACGATAGAGACATAAGTGATATTGGTTTCTATTTTTGTAATGGCTTAAACTGCATTTTATACCAATGTTTGAAAGTAATTGGGTGTTAGCTTGAGATGGTTAGAGGTTGTTTGGGGAGAGAGTTTGTTGTAATGGTTTTGCTGTAAAAAATGTTTCAAGCGGCCGGGCGCGGTGGCTCAAGCCTGTAATCCCAGCACTTTGGGAGGCCGAGACGGGCGGATCACGAGGTCAGGAGATCGAGACCATCCTGGCTAACACAGTGAAACCCCGTCTCTACTAAAAATACAAAAACTTAGCCGGGCGTGGTGGCGGGCGCCTGTAGTCCCAGCTACCGGGAGGCTGAGGCAGAAGAATGGCGTGGACCCGGGAGGCGGAGCTTGCAGTGAGCTGAGATCCGGCCACTGCACTCCAGCCTGGGCGGCAGAGCGAGACTCCGTCTCAAAAACAACAACAACAAAAAAAAAAAAAAAAAAACAAACAAAAAAAAAAAAAGCATGGATGACCTAGTGACACTCTGTCTCAGAAAAAGGAAAAAAAAAAATTCCAGGACAATTTTATACACTTGAGCAAATGAAGTATCTCTTTCAACGTCTAAGGTTCTGATGGTATGAATCCTAAACATGTAACTATTTTCTCAGAAAAAATGATAGTAATATCTTCAAAATAAACACGATTGGGAACACATAGCTATAGGTGTTTAAAACACTGAAAGAGAGGCAGCGGTACAAAGGAGATCTGAGCAAATGTTTTCTTCATGAACACAGGGGCTCTGCTGGAACAAGGTTCCAAGTCAATCCTGCCCGTCCTTCAACATCTGCAAAGAATACTATGGACCAGAGGAACTTGAAGGGAACATTCACTTAGCAGCTCACAGCTCACCATTTAATCAGATGACATGAACAAAGAAAATGGAATAATAGGCTACTTCAGCTAAATTTTGATGTCAGCATAAAGAAAAAGTTCCTTCATATCTTTATCAAGTACACATCGAAACAAACTAAAATGATTTATAAGGTACCAGAAAATGTTTCCAATTATGATACAGACTAGAAAGCATGCAGTCCTCAGGCAAACTGAACACATTAAATTTCAGAGAAAATCAGTTTTAAAATGGTTAAAAAACATATCTAATGAAATGTGGGGTCATAGAAGAATATTTTGAACACATATTATAGTTGCAAAACAATGATGTTACCTCCTAAGATTATACCAAAGCTTATTTGAGAAGCGGTTTTATTTTTATTTTATTTATTTTATTTTATTTTACTTTATTTTACTTTTGAGACAGAATCTTGCTGTTGCCCAGCTGGAGTGCAGTTGCGTGATCTCGGCTCACTGCAACCTCTGGTCCCCAAATTAAAGTCATTCTTCTACCTCAGCCTCCCGAGTAGCTGTGTTACAGGCACTCGCCACACCAAGCTAATTTCTATATTTTAATCAACACTGTCATGTCCCAACTTAAAATGAGTTATCCATTTACAAACTAGTGATTTCTTTTGGGCATCGTCTCCATAACCTTTTCATAAAGCATCAATGATTTCATTGTTCCTCTACCCAAATTTCACCATATTGACTTCTTGAGACACTATCTCGCTCTGTCACCCACGCTGGAGTACAGTGGCATGATCATGGCTCCCTGCAGCCTCTACCTCCTGGGCTCAAGCTTGTACCAGTTTATTTTGGTGCAGAAAATGCGACATCACGCACAATTTTCTCATAATATGTATTTTTCCATGAACTTCCTGAAGACCCCTTGTACTAGCAAACTGTATTCAAGAGGATATAAAAAGGATTGTAGATATGCAAGTACCACTTATTTCTGAGATGCAAGGATGGTTCAACATATTCAAGCAAATCAATGAGATATACCACTTGAACAGAATGAAACATGAAAATCACATCATCTCAGTAGACGAAGAAAAAGCATTTCACAAAATTCAACATCCAGTCATCATGGAAATCCTAAATAAAATAGATACAGAAGGAAATTTACCTCGACAATAGAAAGACCATCCATGAAATGACCAATGCAGAAATAACCAATCGGGGAAAATGGAATGCTTTTCCTGTAGGATCTCACATGATGCAAGAATGCTCTCACCCCTTCTATTCAATCAATACTGGCTGTCCTAGCCAGAGCAATGAAATAGCAAAATAAATCAAACTCATCCAAATCAGAAAGAAAGAAGTCAAATTTTATTTGTTCGTTGATGACATGACATTCTGTGAAGAAAATCACGAAGAGTCAATCAAAATGCAACTGGAACTAATAAACACATTCAGTGTATTTGCAGAATAGAACAACAGCACCAAAAATTAGCTGAATTTCCATACATTAACAATAAATAATTTTAAAAGAAAATTAGAAACCACTTCCATTTGCTAAAGAACTTAAACTAAGAAACATTTAGAAATAAGCATTAAAAGGTGAGGTTTGTACCTTGAAATCTACAAACATTGATCAAAATGATTAAAAACATGTATAAATAGATATAAACCCCATACTGATTGGAAAAATTAATATTGCTCAATGATTATATAACTGAATGTGATTTAGATTCAGTACAATACTCATAGAAATCCCTATAACTTTTTGTTAAAGAAACAAAAAACAGGCCAGGCAGAGTGGCTCACACCTGTAATCTCAGCACTTTGGGAGGTGGAGTCAGGTGGATCATAAAGTCAGAATATGGAGACTATTCTGGCTAATACGGTAAAACCCAGTCTCTACTAAAAATACAAAAAATTACCCAAGTATGGTGGCACACAACTGTAGTGCCAGCTACTAGGGAGACTGAGGCAGGAAAATCGCTTGAACCTAGGAGGAGGGGGTTGCAGTGAGCCGAGATCATGCCACTAAACTCCAACATGGGCGACAGAGCAAGACTCCATCTCAAAAAGAAAAAAAGAAAAAGAAAATACAGTTTGGGAAAAGTGGCTCCTGTCTGTTGGCCAGGGTGTTCTCAAACTCCTGACCTCGAGTGACCTACCTGTCTTTGCCTCTCAAAGTGCTGAGATTACAAGCATGGGCCATGGCCCCCAGCACAATCCTCTTAACATAAACAGTTTAATGGTAACTAATGCTTGAACTCAATGTTAAGTCAACTCAAACTCAGGTCAAGGCTGATTTGACTCTAATGTCAATTAATGCTTGATGGTTTGTTATACTCATTACATTAGAAACAACTGTCTCTAAAAGGAATTGCCTGATGTTCTGCAAGGAGTGACCTCAGACTGAAGACCTTGCCACACTGATGACATTTATAAGATTTCTGTCCAGTATGGATTTTCTGATGCCTAATGAGGTGTGAACGTGAAGTAAAGGTTTTGCCACAATCATCAAACTTGCGAGCTTTCTCTCCTGTATGAATTATCCTGTTTTGCGTAGGATGAAACTTGACTGAAGACCCTGCCACAATCATGACATTTGTAAGGTTTCACTCCAGCATGAGTTCACCAATGAAATGCAAGGCATGAACGATGTCTGAAAAATTTGCCACACTTATGACACTTTTAAGATCTCTCTTCATTGTGGATTCTCCAATGACTTGCAATGATTGTAGCATTACTGAAAACTTTGTGACAATCATTACATTAGTCAAGTTTCCCTGTCCCATGGATTGCTTGATGGTAAGTGTTGACTGCCCACTAAAGGCTTTGCCACACTCATTGCACTTGTAAAGTTTCTCTCCAGTGTGAATTCTAGTATTGTCAGGTGTGAATCATTCCCGAAAGCCTTGTCACAAACCTTATATTTGCATGTTTTTTCTCCAGTATGAATTCTCCTACGTATTTGAAGCTGGATTTGCGACTGAACTTTGTCACATTGTTCACGTTTGTAAGATTTCTCTGCAGTATGAAATCTGTGATGACTTGCAAGGTGTGATTATTGATTAAAAACCATGCCACATTCATTAGACTTGTAAGGTTTCTCTCCAGTGTGAATTACAAGGTGTGAATTTTGACCCAAGGTCTTGCCACACTCATTACACTTCTAAGGTTTCTCTCCAGTGTGAATTCTAGTATGTTTTGCCAGGTATGAATTATATGCAAAAACCTTGTCACAAATTTTATATCTGTATGGTTTCTCTTCAGTGTGAATCTTCTTATGTTTTTCAAGGTTTGACTTATGACTGAACACGTTGTCACATTCCTCCCATTTGTAAGGTTTCTCTGCGGTATGATGTCTATGATGACGTGCAAGGGTTGCTTTTTCATTAAAAACCTTGAAACATTCATTACACTTGTAAGGTTTCTCTCCAGTATGAACGGCCCTGTGATTTACAAGGGTTGAATGGTGATGGAAGGTGTTGACACACTCATTAGACTATTCAGATTTCTCTGCACTATGAAGTCTATGATGGTATACAAGGGATGACATCTGACTGAAGGTCTTGCCACACTCATTACACTTGTAAGGTTTCTCTCCAGTATGAAGCCTACGATGGATTATAAGGGATGATGTCTGACGGAAGGTCTTGCCACACTCATTACATTTGTAAGGTTTCTCTCCAGTGTGAACTCTCTGATGTTGTGCCAGGTGTGAATCCCTCTGGAAAGCCTTGCCACAAACCTTACATTTGTATGGTTTCTCTCCAGTATGAATCCTCCTATGTCTTTCCAGGTTTGATTTGCGACTGAAAACTTTGTCACATTCTTCACATTTGTAAGGTTTCTCTCCACTATGAATCCTCCTATGTCTTTCAAGGTGTGATCTGCGACTGAAAACTTTGTCACACTCTTCACATTTGTAAGGTTTCTCTCCAGTATGAAGTCTACGATGGCGTGCAAGGGTAGATAGTCGATTAAAAACCTTGCCACATTCATTACATGTGTAAGGTTTCTCTCCAGTGTGAAGTATAGTATGCTTTGCCAGATATGAATTATACATGAAAGCCTCATCACAAACCTTACATTTGTATGGTTTCTCTCCAGTATGAATCCTCTTGTGTCTTTCAAGGTGTGATTTGCGACTGAAAACTTTGTCACATTCTTCACATTCATAAGGTTTCTCTCCGGTATGAAGTGCTTTGTGGATGAAGAGGGATGAATTGTGACCAAAGGTCTTGCCACACTCATTACACTTGTAAGGTTTCTCACCAGTGTGACATCTACGATGGCATGCAAGGTATCGCTTCTGATTAAAGACCTTCCCACATACATCACATTTACATTGTTTCTCTTCTAAGTGAATTATCTGGTGTTTTTTTAAGGGTGAGCT